GCGTGTTCCTGCCGCCGCCGCCCCCCCGGCTTGTTCCCGCCGCTGCCCAGCTCATTGCCGCCGCGGCCGCCAAGCTCATTCCCGGTGTGTTCCTGCCGCGGCCGCCGCCGCCCAGCTCATTCCCGGCCTGTGATGCTCCAGGTACGGCCCTCCCCCCTTCCCTTCCGTTCCCTGCGGCGCTGCGTGTCGAGGCCGGGACGGAATACCCCGGGCCGCCGCAGCCAAGCGCGAGGGGGAACGCCAGACGCCTCGCGCGAAAGGGGGAGGCCTGGCGACGCTGCGCCCTACCGGGCGCTCACCAGGGGGGCCGAGGCGGCCAGGGAGGAACAGCCAACTGCCGGCAACCAGCCGGAACTGCTGGGGCCGGCCCGTATTGAAGAATACGGCCGAATTTACCCGGGCTGGCTGAGAAAGGCGCACCTCCAGCCTTCCGCGCAACCGGGAGAAGCCCCCTCCCTTTTGCAAGGTCGCCCCCTCCCCGCTTTTGGGGTGGGGGAGAATTGAGAGAGAGAGAGAGAGAGAGACAAACACACACACACAAAGAGGAGAGGGGAGCCGGCCGGCCCACCCGTTTCCCCCTTTCCCTGCGCGAGCGTGTGTGGATTTCCCCCTTTTTTTCTGCCCGCCTCTCTTGCCCACCCCCCCGGTTCCAGCTTCTCACTATCCAGGCGTTTCTGCGAAGCGGTCGAGGGAGGGGGGGGCGGTTGGTGGGAAAAGAAAAGATGGAGCAGCGGCCCGGGGTTTATAAAGCAAGCGGCGGAGTCCTGCAGCTCAGAGGCGACATGGGGGGAGGGAATCGGAGCTAACCGAGGAAGGAGGCGCTGCTGCTGCTGTTTCTGCTGCCGCCGCCGCCAGCCAGGACATAATACGGTAAATACGAGCGTAGGGGATCCGCGCGTGAACGAAGCCCCACTCCCCCGCCTTTTGCTTTCGCTCCCGAGCCGGCGCTTTTGAAAAGGGCTTGACTCCAGCCTAGGATTTGGAGCGGGAGACGCCGCCGCTGCTGCCGCCGCCCACGCTGCTGTGGACTTACAATATCCGAGCAAAAGACTTTGCAAAAGACCACCCCGCCAAGGGGGAAAGGCGCGCAGTTGGGCACCGTCTTCGGCGTCTCTTTAAACGGTGCTCGGATATTGTAAGTCCACAAAGAACTGGGGAAAAATATTGACCCGAGTATAAGCCTAGGGGGGCATTTTTCAGCTCAAAAAATGGGCTGAAAAACTCGGCTTATACTCGAGTATATACGGTATCTTCCCTCTCTGGTACACTTTTTTATATCTGGCCTCAGTATTTAATACATTTATAAATTCCTACCTGTTTTAGCATTGCTCATTTTCTTTAAATTTGATTCCCAACACTGGGATATTCTGGGATAGCAAATACTGTATATTCTTGGGATAGCAAATACTGTATATTCTTGCTTTGGCAAAACATGCAGAACTGTCTGGTATTTTTAGAGTTAATTCAGTTGATGATGGTGGGGAGGAGAAAGATAGGACTGCGTGGGAAGAGACTGGAAGAGAACCTCTGCCCTTCCACCTGATAGGAGAACATGATATATGACAGCAAATTTAGGGAGGGAACATGCTGGTAAATTAATTGCTCAGAGGAAGAGAATTTTAGACCTTAGCATCAACTCGTTGTGCCTGTGCCGACATTTTGTAACAATAAATTACTTTTAGGAAAATCAATGCCTGGAAGTTCTTTGAAGTGTTTCATTAGCCGGAACCATAACAACTCCATTATTAATCTTCCAGGCACTTATCTGTGTTTCTCCCAAAATAAGATCCGGTCTTATATATTTTTTTGCCTCCAAAAGAGGCGATAGGTCTTATTGTGGGGGGATATGTTACCCGCTTACCTCAGGACCGCCACAGCCAGGCCTCCCATGCCCCTACACCTGTTGCGCCGCTGCCCGACTTCTGCGGCTCCTTGCAGCAAGAGGCCGCATTGCACCGGTGCCACCAATTCGCTCACAGCAGGACGCCACGTGGCACATTACACCGGTGCCATTGCTTGCAGCAGGATTTCGTGTGGCATGTTACACCATGGTGCGCATGAGTGGCGGCACCGGCATGACAGGTGATGTGGCATCCTGCCACGAGCGGTGGCACCGGCGCAACACGCCACTCGGCCTCCTGCCACGAGTGGGGGCATCAGTGTAACGCGCCATATGGCATCCTGCTGCAAATGGTGGCACCAGCGCGACTCTCCTGCCGCAATAAGAAGTCAGGCAGCAGTGTGACAGATGTTGGGGTGTGGGAGGCCTGGCTGCAGCAGTCCTGAGATAAGCGGGTATGAGGCACATGGGGCAGCTACCCCACCCCACCCTTGCCTTAGCTTGATTTTTATGCATGTGCCTTCTCCCACCTTGTACAACCAGATGGTGAGGTGCAGTGGGCAGGATCTGAACTGGGGCTTATTTTGGGGGTAGGGCTTATATTAGGGGCATACGTAAAAATGAAACTAGGTCTTATTTTCAGGATAGGTCTTATTTTTGGTGAAACATGGTAATAGGTCCTCTGTATTTTACACGATCTTCACAGTAGTTCTTGTATCTTTGATAATTCTTTTGTAAACTTCAGAAATATAATGTGATGAGTGAAATATTTGAATTAAATTGAATGATTACATTATATTTTATTTGTTTTGTCTTGGTCTTCAATAAATATTTACATTTTGTAATTTTAATAGATTAATTCACTGCTAATTAATGGAGAGAAAGGATATGTTGGATGTGGTCATTTCTTTAAAGGAACGGATTTGCCATTTGTAATATATCTTAAATCTAACTTTATTTATTCATTTGATTTTTATCCCACCGTTATTTTATAAATAACTCTAGGGAGCAAACATACATAATACTACTTCCTCCTCCTATTTTTCCCACAACAACCCTCTGAGGTAGGTTGGGCTGAAAGCACATTTGGCCCCAAAAAACCCAGCTGGCTTTCATGCCTAAAGTGGGACTAAAACTCACTCTCCTGGTTTCTAGGCCAGCACCTTAACCACTGCATTAGACTGGCTCTCTTCATTCTTTTTATTCTTTATTCCTTGAAAATCAGGCATTAACTGTGGCTAGAGGTTTCTCTTGGCTGCATAAATTGGCCCTTTCAAATGTTCTGTCCATCACTAGAGGTTCTATAGATAGAAAGCTGCAGTAAATTTTTTTTAAAAAAATCCTTAAATCCAAATGTAAATTAGAAACGAGAACAGTAATACACTGAACCTCATTGTGTACTTAGCTACAGGATTTTCAGATAATAATTTTACCACAGTTGCCATAGAATCTGGACTAATGAGTAAGTTCAACCTTGACAGAAGGTATCAGGACATTTACATGCATAACGAACATGTAATGTGAACATAGTATTAACCTCCTGAAGAGTGCCTAGAGTATTTTTGAATACAAGGAGTGCAGCCTGAGAGGATGTCCAGTGCAGTCTGCAATGCCCCTTTGCTCTCTGCCAAACTCCCCTCCTCGTTTTTTTTCCCTTTGTACTATCTTGTGATGATCAAACAGCTTTTTTAAATCAAAGTGTTTTAATTCGGTTGTTTAGAAATAGGACAAGAAGCAATTAGTGGGAGCTCGTCAGAGGGAGCTCAAATCTGGAAATAAGAAATAAGAAATTTCCTGATAATAAGGATTATTAAGGACTGTTAAGCAGGGAACAGCTTGCCTCCCGGAGTTAGGGGTGTTCAATCAGTTGGGGTTTTCAAGAAAAGATTGGACAATCATTTGTCTGAGATGTTATTAGGACTCCTGCCTTGGACAGGTGGTGGACTATAAAACCTCCCAAGTCCTGTCCAGCCCTACAATTCTGTGATTTATCAGGTTGCTTTGATAAACTCTTAATCACAACAAATATTTTTTAAGATTTTCATATTCTTAGGTTAAAAAGAGCTGCCACTATTTTTTCTTGTTTAAAAAGTAAGAAAAAATACAATTATACAGTACCCTTGGAATTTTGGTTGGCAGCAAATTATTTAAAAATAATGAAAACTAATCAGAATAGTCCACTCTTGCAGTGTGGCCATTTACATGTGGTGCACTTACTGGAGAGACCTTCATGTGGTAGTTGTGCATCCCTACTTTAGCCTGTGTCTTGATATCAAAGGTTTTATCAGAAAACTTCCCAGTAAATATAAAGACAATTGGGAATGGCTGGAAGAAGAAGAAAAATAGAAATAATTTCTTGAAGCAAAATTGTAAGCTTAAATAAGTGGAGGTTTATCAATGAAGATGAAGTTGGTAATGATAATAGCATTTTTCTCATCTTCTTTTTTTCCTTATGTGATGGTTTTTCTTAACTCAGAGTAATGATGAGAAGCTTCTGCAATTTCAGTAAGGCATACTATCACTCTCCTCTACAGTATCTTAATTGGTATTGCATTATTTTATTTATTAGATTTTTATCCTACCTTTATTACTTTATAAATAACTAAAGGCAGCAAACCTACATAATACTCCTTCCACCACCTGTTTTCTCCAGAATAACAACCCTGTGAGGTGGGTTGAGCTGAAAGTGTGACTGGCCCAGTCATCCAGCTTGGCTTTCATGCCTAAACTCACAATCTCCTGATTTCTAGGGCAGCATCTTGACCTCTACACCAAACCGACTCTCAATTATATTGTTATTATAGTGTAGTGTAGTTTAGTGTTTTGACCATTGCAGCATCCCCATAGTCACATGATCAAAATTCAGACGCTTGGCAACAGACTCATATTTATGGTGGTTGCAGTGTCCCAGGGTCATGTGATCATCTTTTGCAGCCTTCTGAGAAGCAAAATCAATGAGGGAGCCAGATTCACTTAACAACTGTGTTACTAACTTAACAACCATCGTGATTCACTTAACTGTTGTAAGAAAGATTGTAAAATGGGGCAAAATTCACTTAACATCTGTCTTGCTTAGCAACAGAAATTTTGGGCTCAATTGTGATCATACGTTGAGGATTACCTGTAGGATGGGATAGGGAAAGGGATAGGGAATGAGAAGAATAGAAATAGAATAGAAATAGAACAGAACAGAACAGTTATAATGATGTTATGATCTGGTCTGCATTCTGCCTTAGTGTCACAAGCTGTCCATCCTAGATTTTAGAGATAGTTTTAGAACAACTTCGTGTAGAAATAATTTTATTAAGTTGATGGAAGTTGTGTAGTAACACAGCAACCCAAACAGTGAAACTGGTGGGTATACTGGCATAATAAATGCTTGACTCTTTGAATAGTATTGCAGTTGTTTTATTAAATATAACAATGAGAAACAGTACTTCGTTTTTATTCTTTTGTTAAATGTTTTCATAGGAACATTTCGTCAGTCTGGATGATCCAGCATTGGAAGTTGGGCAGCACGCTCTGCTTAAACAAGAGCAAACGAAGATCACTTGGTTTGAGAGGCAAGCGGAAGAATTCCTCCATGAAGTCTTTTATCGAAAAGGTTGGACTTAATAAAAAAGGAAATATTTAATGTAATGGTTCAGTTTATTATTTTTTAATATTTCTTTTGCAAAAGTTAAATATTGGCCTCCTCTCCTCTGCTTATCAACTGTCAGTGCAATATATCCCAATCCCTGGTCCCCAATCTTTTCAGTCTCTTTCTTCCCTTCCACCTCGTTCTTTCCTCAGCTTCCTCCACTAATGACCCAATGTAGCATATTTCATTGACCTGCACATTCCCCTCATCTTCTAAGTGGCTTCCTTTTCCTCTGCTCTCTCATCTGCCTTTTAGTGTTAGTGTGGCATATTCCTGTCCCTCATCTTCCCATTGTCTTCCCTTTTATCTGTCCTCTCAGCTTCTGTGATGTCCTAATGTGGCACATTCCACCAATTCCTTTGGATAAAATTATTTGATCACAGAGATTTAATCTCTGAATAAATTGGTAGTTCCTGACCATGTTTTTGTCTGTCTCAACCTTCAATCCTGCCTTTCATCTTATCCTTCACAAAGTCTTAGGGGAACACATACTTTTTTGACTGAACCAAAGTACTTCAGTAGTTTTGCTTTTTCTTTGTTTTCAAATTACTTCCTTTGTGTTTCACTTAAGATAAAACATACATAGATAATCCATAGAATATTTACAGCACTTGAATATAGTTACTGCATTTCTATTCATTTTTCCACATTGCTCAGTTCATTAAAAGCAATGGATAAGCAATCATTTGGGAACAGGAAGAAAGAAATGGGTAAAGTTGCTGTTTTCTGTTTGAATGTTGAATTGGTGTGTGGAAGAGGTATGAAAGTGTGCATATATTTTTATGGTCTCTTGAACATGTATGCCCTGCCGAAATTTCCCAATCTATATCCTGTGTAGAGTAAGAGAAAGTTGAATATTGTTTGTCTGTCTTCCACTATCACTGATCTAAGTTATTCCCATCACTGAAATTCTTTTCTTATTTATAACCCTTATTTATCACTGGCATGTTTACCTCCTTCATCTGTCCAAAGTGCTTTGTGTTATTTTTGTTGACAGTGTTATGTGAGGTTTTAGCATGCACAGATTAATAAATATTGCACAAGCTGATTTTGTCTTACTCATTCAAACTTTCCATAGAATTCCTGGTATAATTTTTTTTTTAAAAAAATAGAAATACACTATAAACTGAATATTTGTCTAGGTCTATTTGTGGTGTTACATACAGCCAGTTTTGTTTAGTAGTTAAGGCACCAGATTAGAAAGCAGGAGACTGCGAGTTCTTAATCTATGGGCCAGTCTCTCTTTTTCAACCCATGACATCAGGCTCAGGCAATTCCATTTTAACCAATGGATCAAGATTCAGTTCTGAAAAAAGTGCATCCTGCACTTCAGGAAAAAATACTAGGGAAAAATGTGATATTTCCTATTTTGCATCCTGCATACTGAAATGCTTTGTTTTCTGAAAAAGAAATAAAGTAATTCTTGCTTAATGTCCACTTATGCAGCGACCAATCAAAGTTACAACAGCACTGAATGAAGAGGAGTTATGGGTCCTCATAATGCTGTTGCAGCATTCCCATGGTCACATGATTGCGATTTGGGTGTTCAGTAAACAGCTTGTAAGTACAAAGTTACAGCATCCCATGATTTCCATTTGCAACCTTCGCTGCTGTCTTCCAACAAGCATAGTCAATGGGAAACTGTCAGGAGGTTCCAAATGGCAATGTTGTGACTGCGGGATGCTGCGACTGTGCAGGATCGCCTAACGACAGAAACTGAAGCTGCTGCAATTACCATCATAAGTTGGCATGGTCTCATGACATTGCACCTTCTGACTGGGTTGCTTAGTGAGACAGTTCCTGGTCTCAATTACCATAAGTTAGCAAAGATTACTTGTATTTCCAAGTTCCAAGTTGAAATATATACTGTATTTAAAATCCATCTTACTTGTTTTCTGATAAACTCCTACTAATATTTTCAAGCCTTTGGCAGGATACAGTGATACAGTGTTTTTGGTGCTGGTGTTGCTGCTGTGTTTTTATCGTGTATATATTTTCATTTTTGTTTATTTAAGTGTAATTTTGTTGTACAGAGTTGAAATTCATAAATGTATATAATAAAAACAGTAAACAATAAAACGCTGAAAATAATGGGATTGTTAAATGATCGCTTTGGCAAAATTGTGACATAAACCTGCCTATCAGGTAGCAGCACTAATGAATGATGCTCTCAAATGTTAGATTAATAAGAAAAATAATTTGTAGGATTACAAGTAGTCCTTGAGTTATGACCATTTCTGTCATATAGCACAATAGTCATAAGTCGAGGCACCTCATAAATCACCCAATTTTATGTCATTATTTACTGCACCCATTAAGTGAATGTGAAATTTGTAAAACAAATCCATTGTTCGCAATGGGTATTTTATGCTAAAAACTGCAAGTAAATGCCCATTTCTTAAAAAAACATTGTAAATTATGGTCACTTGACCACGGGAGTTGCAAATGGCTATAAATATAGCCCGTTTGCCAAGCACTCAAAATACAATCGTGCGTCTGTCGGAACTTCGAATATGGATCATAAGTATCTTTTGGAGAGGGGAGTATCATAAGTTCAAATGGCTGCTAAGCGACTGGTTGTAAGTCAAGGACTACCTGTATTAATAACAATAGCTTTTACTTAGCACATTTCAAGTATTCACATCATATATATTATGTCAATTATCTTTGTGACAGGTCATTAAGTAGGCAAGTCTGGCCATTTCAATCCAGCAGGGTTCAATCCACCAAGCATTTCTAGGTGTGTTTTTTTTTTATTTAAAATTTTATTAGAATATATCAGTTTGTCAGAATATACAATACATGCACTCGAGGAGGTGGTCAGGAAGGGAGGGGATGTAGAAGTGGGAAGGAGGAAGGAGGAGAGGTTGTGGGTCAGAGGGAGGAAGGAAAGGAAAGTGGATGAGGGCGGAGGCAAGGCGGGGACTGCCAAGCGTTTCTGACAATGTATTGATTTGGATTGTTTTTTATGCTTGCGTATACAAATGCATCATATTACTTATTGTTTAATTATAAAAATTAATAAAAATTTTATTTTAAAAAAAGAATATAAAATACAAAGAAAATGAAAATATTGGGAGACTTAAGAGAGGAAAAAGGGAAGAGGAAAAAGTGTGGAGGGAGGAAGGGAGGAAGAAAAAAAGGCGTTGACTTCTGATTCTTTTTAGCACAGTACAGTAGAAGAGAGTAACAGTATAGGCTCATCTTTATGCTTTTACACAATAATACATACTAGCCATTTCTATAACAAGAAACCTATCTAATCAGCAAAACCAAAATCAAAGTTTCATTTTTTTCCCCATCACAAGCACAAAATCCAGAAGCAATTTCCAAATGGAAACAAAATTAGATACGTTCTTTTCTTTGAATAAAGTAATCAATTTAACCATCTCTACTTTTTTTATTTTTTGCTGTGGGAGATAATATATATTTCTGTATATACTTATTAGTCTTTATAAACTATTGTCATTTATATTAACACTGTCTCAGGTTCTTTAACCTTAAAGGGGAAAAATCTTTTTTTAACATCAGTTTTAAAGCTTTAGAGTTTTCTTTAAAAATATTTCTAAAATCAATAAATGCTAATACATATTTTTTATTTCTTCCTAACATTCATACTTTAAAATTCAATAATATATTACAAACTTTAGGAATTACTGGAGCATTTTATATATAAAAAACATTTTCAGACCCACTTTATGAACACAAACTACATTAGAGCTACATTCTTTCAATTACATAGATTAGACTTGTAAAAATTCATCTTAACTCCTATTAACATTAAATTTGAGTCACTCCCTCCAGCTTATCCTCATAGAATAAAATCTTTCTTCTCTGGAATGTCTATCCAAGTCTCTTTCTCTCAAGGAATTCTCAACCTTGTTAATATCCATGAAGAAAAAGTCCCAAATTTGCCCTCTTGAGAGTTATAGATTTGCTTGGGACAGTATTCCATGCATCTTTTGTGTATAGCCCTGTGGCCACATGACCACGGAAAATGTCTTCAGACAATGCTGGTTCCCTTAGCCAAGCAACGGAGATGAGCACTGTGCCCTAGAATCGGACACAACTGGACAGGGAAACCTTTACCTTGTTTCAGTTGCACTGAGAGGGCAATATTTAAGCCATCATTATAATAAAGATTGCTATTAGATTTGTATTCCAAAGTTGCAGTTAAATTCTTTACAGTGTCAGATATTTGTGAAATTGCCTCATGATGTGTAGAAGTTCCCAGGTCCTTTTGATTAAACAGTATCATCTATTGGGACCCCAGAAATGTGCCTTCTGTGTTGCAGTACTGACCTTGTGGAATGAGATTCCTCCTCAGATCCAGGTGCCCCCCGCCCTGTTGTCATTCCAAGTGGGTTTTGAAGATCTTCACCCAGGCTTTAAGCTAGGGTAGTTGGAACCCTTTGCAGGATTGGCCAGATTTGCCATATCATTCATGGGCTTTATCTGGATTGCATATTATTGTTTATTTTTGCTCTGTGAGCCACCTACAGTCAATGGATGTTGGGCAGTATCCAAGTCAAATAAACAATTACAATATGTCACAGTCTTGAGCTGGCATTTTAAAATCATTGAACATGAATGTAAAAATATTTGGATGTATTTAGATTATGAATGTATAATTCAGGTTTTACATTTTTTCTGAATATTACTATTTCAAATTTTATGCCTTTTAGATAGTCCCAGGGTCTCAGACCCCAACATTTCCTTAGTGGCCCGCGAGATCATGCAGCGGATGATCCGACAATTTGCTGCTGAATATACCTCAAAAACTAGCTCTACTCAGGACTCCAGTTCGCCCAATAGCACAAAGAACCAAAGCCTGCTGAAAGCATCTCCGGTTGCCTCATCCACTGCAGGTGCAAGAGCTCAAAATCCCGTGCTCAGCAAACTTCTCATGGCTGACCAGGACTCACCCTTGGACCTCACTGTCAGAAAGTCACAGTTGGACCCTAGTGAACAAGGTATGCATGACACATCTCTGTCAATTTTTTGCGGGTGGTTACAATATGTTAATCATGAATTATTAAATGAATAGAAGAACAAATTATGATTGTGAGATTTGGGAAATGTCTGCCCCAGCAGATGTGACACATTGTACATGAGATTTCAAATCTGCGCTCTCCCCCAAATCTGCAAGTGTGGTGGCTGTGTTGGGAAAGATGTTTTTGCCTTGTCATATTGAACGTTGGAAGCACTGAATATCTATATAATGGCAGAAATGAAACCACATTTCAAAATACCAGAACCTCCTCTGAACTTTAGAAATCATGAAATTTTTCATTCATGCTTCTGCAATCCAATATTTATCATTTCATGTTGATGGTAGCTATTTGTATTTATGCAGTAGTGGCCCCGATCAATATTTGTCTGTAGCTTTGTCTATAATCCTTTTTTTTAAAAAAAACTTCATTTTTATGACAAATTGGGCATGTAAACAATTTTTACTTGTTTGTTTGTTTATGAAATTTGTATGGTACCCAAATTCACAACACCTCTTCATTGTGAAACAATTTGGAAGAGTACAAAACAGAAAAACTAATATACATCCTAGAACAGCAAAACACATTTCTTTATCATAGAATACTTGCACAAGTGGTCTGTTACCTATCTTAGCCCAAGCCCTGAGGAACAGCCATATCTTTGGGACCATAGATCCCTGGGGAGATCTATTGCAGATGGTATGCACCGCAACAGGAAAGATTTAATTCCTGGTCCTATGATGACATTGTTTAATTGATGGAATCCAATGCATGCTAACATTATCAAAATGAACAGGATTGGCAGACATCAACAGGAGATAGATGATCCTCCAGATAGTCGAGTGCTATGCCACTGAATAGCTTTATAGATAATAAGCAGCACCTTGAATTATATTCTGAGGCCCACTTGTAACCAGGATAGCTCAGAAAGCAGAAGGGTTACATGGACTTATTGTGGCATGGCCATAATTCCCCATGCTGTCACATTCTGAACCAGTTGCAGCTTCCAATTGGTCTTCAGTGGTAGCTCCCCATAGAGTACATTGAAATAGTCCACATGTCAGGTGATCAAAGTTTGAATGGTCCAAGGCCCTCTTAATCCAGAAACTGGTGGAATTGATGTACAAGATGAATCTGTGTAAACACTTTCCTGGTCAGAGCTATCAACTGCTTTTCCAAATAGGAGCTCTGAGTCTAGAAAGACTTTTGAATTGCTTGATTAGCAAAGTGCAATGCCATTCAGGACTAAAGATGGAAAGTCTCCTGTTCCACTGATTCAGATACCCACAGTTGCTTGGTCTTGCTATGACTCTGCCCGAGTCTGTTTCTCCCCATCCATACCTCCAGCCTCTAGGCACCATGATCTCTTCCGCTGGTTTTATACAGACATTAAAGAAGGGTCAGAGATTGAGTCCTATGACAGTCTGCATGTCAGAGACTTTGATTCAGAATCATTCCTTCAGGAATAGTCTTGCCAGCATGTATGCTAATAAAAACAAGAAAGCCCACAAGCAACTCGCCTTCTATTTTTACTTTGGGCAAAAGGTGCAAGGTAGTTGTGCTTTCAGAATATCTAGATTGAGAAAAGCCTTGCTTGGAATTTCTTAAGTAAGAGGTTTCCTACTTACGTATGGTTTCCTACTCCTGGCCTAGTTAAGGAATGCTATTTTTAAAATTCCAGAAATGACTGAATAAAAAACCAGGAAGAAGGAGAAACAGAAAGGGATGAGACATGTGAAGAACAAGCATTGTAATCCCATATTGTGAAGACTGATAAAAAATAAAGACAGGTTTTATTTCCCTAGTATTGGGTTAGATTGAGAGCAAGATGCAAGTGAATGTGCATTGAACTTGAGAGAAGACATAATGAAACGCTTCATTTTTATGCTGAGTTTAGGCCGAGGGAGAGAGACAGAGAAGTGAGCTTTGTGTTTGTTATACAATTTACAGTATATCCACCCAATTCTCAGAAACTCTTGAGTAGCTTACAGTAGAAATGTAGTAAACTTATAATTGTATGAATTTATTTTTTTTAATTAAACTGATGTGCCACAGTTTGGGAATACTTTGGTCATACACATTCCCAAATACTTTCCTGAAGAACTGTGTTTGTATAGCTCTCTGAAAATGTTGCAAGGCTTGGATGGTTGCATATCTGGTGATATGGTGTTCCAAAGCCATTACTGAGAAGTGTTGAACCTTGGGTCCCTGAAGTTGGCCCTCCTGCAACGATGGGACCCTCCACAAATACTTTCCCCATAAGTGCTTAGTGTTCAGGCATATTCTACCTGAAGAAATTGATCACAAAGTTACTGAGGCCCTGAGCTTCATAGGGCTTTAAAAGTGATAACCAGGACTTTGAATTGCATTGGGCTGCCCTTCAAATCTACCTGGAAGATTCAGTTATTACAATATGTGGCAGTCTAGGCAATTAGGGGAGCAATAAACTTTGCCTGTAGAACCATTAAAACAGAAACTAAGAAGGCAAACAACTGGCAGCCGTCTTAGCTCATGTTTTAATGGTGTTCTACAGGCAAAGATTAGTGCTCCATTAATTGCCTGGACTACTGCATATTGTTATAGCTGAATCTTCCACTTAGACTTCAAGGGCAGCCCAATGTAGAATACAACTGTGTGGTGAGAAGGACATGAGTAACTATGAATAGGGTCGCCTGATCCAGAAAAGGTGATAAGAATGTTAAGAGCAATGTACTGTGCTCTTCCTTGGTAGAGAAACTCAAAATTTTAATTGACCATCTGGTGATATTAACAAATTATATACTTATATAAATGGACCTCATTATCCATTATTTCAGTTCCTGCAATTACATGAATGATAAAAAAATGTCATTATTTGCTAGAAAATATTTCATGTATCTTTAAGTTTGGCATGTGGTTCTGGTTTTGAGTATTTTTGTGTGTTTTTTATATGTACGAAATTGAGAATGGATTTTTGTGCATGCACAGACATTGTTTTTCAAGGTTTTGTTATCCATTGTTTTGCTATCCATGGATAGGCCGGAATGGAATCCCTACAAGTAATGAGGGCTTTAAAAGGCATTGCCTACTTAGTAGTCACCTACCCGATTTGCAGATGTCAGAGGCAAAGTATGTATTGCTAAGATGATGTGAGTTTCTTTTAACTACCAATTGTTTGAGTAATTATTAAATAAGAACACATTGACAGTATAAAGATTGTGAGTGTTACTTAGCTATGTAAGAAAAGATCTGCAATAAGCTTCTTCATTAGTGTGCTAAAGATAGTGTGGATGTCACTTAGCAAGCAGCAATTTTGATCTGAATTGGTTAGAAAATGAAAAGCTTGAATTTTTCCTCTATTTCACAAAGCAAAACTTACAAACATAATCCTAGATGAGGACATTTATAACTACAGTAATAGAAGTGTGCATTTTGAGTGGATGTAGATATTCATTACTCAGACAATTATTATTTCCCTCTTATTGCTTCTTTAGAGTTGTTTATAATACTTTTTTTACAAAGTTATGCATTCCCTAAAAGTTATTATTCTTAATTTAGCATTCCCAGGAGATTTTCCTTGGAGTTAGTTTAGCGAAGAGTGTTTGACTACCTGGGAAAATCCTAGAAAAAAGAATCAAACAGTGGGTTTGCAAGCACTTTAGAAAGGAGCACTGTGATTACTATAACCATCATTTCATTAAACATAGGCTATGTTAAATCATACTGGGTTGTGTTTTTTTTTAACAAAGTGACTAAATCAGTAGACCAAGAGAACGTTATGAATATAATGTATCTAGATTCCAGTAAGACATTCAGTGAAGTTGATCAGAGCCCCCTTCTTAATAAAATAGAACAATGTGGGATGGGTGGTCCCACTACTAAATGAATTCGCAGCTGATTGAACAACTGTACCCAATGTGTGGTCATTAATTGATATACATCTAGGTGGAGTAAGATACTTAAGGGTTCTGTCATGGATCAAGTGCTCTTCAAAATATTTATAAATTATTTAGATGAGGATTTAGTAGTGGTGCTCAGCAAATGTATAGATATCACAAATCTGGGATCAGCGAAGGATTGCCAACACCTCAAAAGACAAACTCAGGATTCAAAAGGATCTTGATAGACTTGAACATTGAACCAACAAAATGCAGTTCAGTGGTAAGAAATGTAGTGTTCTGCATTTAGATAGAAAATGCAAAATGTACAGAAACAAGATAAATGGTACCTGGCTTAGCAGTTGTACCTATGAGAAGGACCAGATTGTTCTGCCAACTACAGATTAAACATGAACTAGCAGCTGCAGCTACCAAGAATGAATTCAGTCTTGGGCTGTGTCAACATAAATTCAATGTCAAAATCATAGAAAGTGATAGTTCTCTATGCTGTATCAAACCACTTTGGAATATTGTACCCAGTTTTGATTACCACAATAATAAAAAAAAGAATGCTGAGAAACTGGAAAGAGTGCAGAAAAGAGCAACATGCTTGGTGAACAGCTTGGAGGCTAAATCATAAGAATGGTTAAAATAATTGACTATATTTAGCTTGAATAAGAAAAGATGAAGAGGAGACATAACAGCAGTATTTCTATATTTGTAGGGCTGTCACAGGGAAAAAATATGGATTTATTCTCCATACTGCCCAAGGGGAGGACAGGAACCAATAAGTGAAACTTTACAGAGATAAGGAGGAATTTCCTGACTGTGAGAGCTGTTAAGTAATGGAACAGCAGCATGGGTGCTCCATCAATGGTTTGACAGCCATTTGTCTTAAGATGGTCCAAGGATTCCTGCCCTTGGCAAGTCGGACTAGAACTTCTCCAAGGTTCTTTTTAAACCTATGATTCTATGCTTCTAAGTAATTTTATTTGAAAATCACATGGGGAAGAAATGTTTAGCCAGTCTCCATGTCTAAAATCTCAAAATATTTTGCACATCTTTTCTAGGATATAGCCTGCTGATGTAGAACTTGCACAATTAACATTTTTGGCTAGAAATATTTATAGTAATTGAAAAGCTTTTCACCTTTGCTAGCAAAAATATTGGAAGATTTTTGCTTTGGGTTTTTTTTTGCTAAATTTAAGAATATGTTATAAACAATATAAATAAAAATAGTTATTGAATGTGAAGCTCGGGAAGACTCGTTGAATTGATCCCAGATTAACAAGTTATGTCTTTAATAAGTTTTCAAATATGTGTTTGGTTTTCCCGTTCTCAAATTACGCTCATGTTGTTGCAGACGGAGTGCTTGATCTGTCCACTAAGAAAAGTCCTTGTGCAGGCAACGCCTCCTTGAGCCATTCACCTGGCTGCTCTGCTACTCCTGGGAATGGGTAAGAGAAATTCTTAATATTTTGCTCACACCTAATACATTGGGATATAATTGAAGTCAACTGCTCGTGATAGGTTGAGTTTTTAATTTTTTGGATTATTAATTAATTTAGAAAATTTCTTATTTCCAGTGTTCAACTATAATTTCAACGGAAATAATCAGTCTTTCTGTTGAATATAGACATAGGATTTTTCAGCTTTTAAAGTCTAAATTTATATACAATGATTAACACCCACGGACTTGATGCAAAAGCACTTTAGGCCATTATTATGCTTAAAAACCTACCAAGAATTGTGTGAGGCACTAGTTGTGTGAACCAGCACTTTGACTTGAAGCTGTACAAATTACATAGGTTCTATTTAAAACTTATATACATTTATATTATCATAGCAACTCTATAAAGTTTATATTATGATTGCAGTTATAGCATTCCTATATACAAGTAGTCCTCAACTTACAACCAAATGACTGTTTGAAGTTACAGTGGCACTGAAAAAAGAGACTTATGGCTGATCCTCCCACTTATGGCTGTTGCAGCATCCCCCAATCACATGACCAAAATTAAGGCACTTGGCAATGATTACTGTGTCATAAGGTCACATGATTACCACTTGCAACCTTTCCAACTAGTTTCTAACAAGCAAAATCAATAGGGGAAGCCAGATTCATTTGACAACTGCATGATTCACTTAACAACTATGTGATTTACTTAGCAACTGCAGTTTCGCTTAACAACCATGGTTAAAAAGGTTGTAAAATCTGACACGACTCATTTAACAATCGCCTTGCTTAGCAATAGAAATTCTGGTTCTAATTGTGATCTTAAGTCAAGAACTTTCTGTATAGATCATTTACAGAGGTACTATTATGCCTGCATATGAACTATGCTTAGAGGGCCTGCTGCAATTTTTAGAGGATCTTCAGATAGGTTTCCTGCCATCATCTTTGAAGTAGTGGCTACTGCTTTTCACAATTAATATGGCTACAGCAAAGTTTTCATGTAGAAAACAGTGATCTGGACTGAAAACAGAATGTAGTAACCATTCATCATAATCAGGGCTTTTTTTCTCGGAGAAAAGGTGGCGGAACTCAAACCTGGCCACGCCCTCATCAAACCCTAGGACCGCCCCTTTAGAGAACAGGAATGCAAGTAAAATTTGGGAGGGGCTATTTCCGGTGCGGCCGGCCCGGAAAAAGGTGCCGGAACGCGGTTCCGCCGCGTTCCGGCTGAAAAAAAGCCCTGATCATAATACATTATCCCAGGTGCAATATCAAAAACAATGATAACAGTTTAATTGCCGTTGAAAAACTTATTGAGATGAAACATGTCAGTGAGGTTAAATCGCCTCTTATAGGAGATTTAATTGGTTTTATTGCACACTGCAAAGAAATGATCCTTGTAGTCTCTTTCAACTCTATAATTCTTTTGAGTCTGAGATGAAGGATCCTTAGCAGCTATCTACAACCATGTTGTTGATGGTTCTGTCAGTTTGGGTTAATAGGTCTCTGAAAGCTCTGCAGACTGCTATAAGAGACCGTATGCGATTGAATAACTGAGCCAGGCCTCATTTTTCAGTAGACTGAAATGATAATAGCTGATAGTTTCAATAATTTTTTAACAGAAACCAATAAAGAACGCTTAATATTAATGAACACAGTGTTTGGACAAGAGTGCCAAAGCAAACTAGCGGGTGAAGAATTGTACAAAAATTTGTTAAGATATGGGCAAAGAGGAGAAATAAACCATTATTATAACATAGTACTGTCACCACACTAGTTTCTTATGTTTCATTAGGTCAAGGTAGATTTGTAATTGTATTGGGATGTTTTCAAAATAAAATATTGAATAAAAGCACTTATGATACTATTCTAACTCTATATTGGGAAAGACTTCTATTGAAAAAGCTTGTAGAGTCTTGTCAGTTCTGAATTCTTAGCTTAGTCATTTAGAAGTAAAGAGATACAGGATGGCATTGTAAGGGCTATAGTAGATACAAGAGTAAGGATAGACTACATAAAAATATTTTCTTCAGGCTTAGTTTAGCCATGTAAATATGTTGTTATAATTAGTTGGACTTCTACATAAAATAGCATTGTTTGCAGCCGCCAATTTTAATTGCAAAATGAAATACTTAAATATTTAAATCGATGATTACATGGATTCTTTATTTAGCCCTGTGGTCTCTAGGTTCCTAAAACCCCAAAGATTCTTAAAGAGGAATATCTACTGTATCTGTTCATTTTCTGAACAATTTAGCATAATTTCTGTAATTTGTTTTAAACCTTGCACATTACATGAAAAGTTAAAGATCATCTTCAAAATATCAGCATATTTTGCTGTGTCTTATGTAAAGAAGTTGGCATTAAGAGTTGTCAAACAGTACTGTTTGCCTATGTTTATGCTTGTACTGTTAAGCTTAATGCCATTGAACATTTGTCTTCTTAATTAATGTTCCCTGGACAATGGTTCATTGTTATCAGACAAAGTAGAAATATTCAGCATATGTTAAATGTCTATCAGAAGTATAAATCACGCGGCTGTTTTGTTCAGAAACAATGAATAATACCTGTTATCAAAACAACATTTTAAATTTGGATTCTAATATTGAAAACAGATACCTAAAGGATTAGAATCCCTAAAATCTTTTTAAATACGTTCTTTGTCCATTCCATGCTCTCAGAACTTTCCAGTTGTAAAATGGGAAAACGTGCATTATGATTGTCCTGATGGAAACAACAAAGAAGAATGTGTTACATATGTTTTGGGGGGACTATTTATTAGAATACACTGTAAATAATTTACATATTTTAATAGTCTGATTAAACTGGATAAAATTAAAATAGATTAATTCCTAATCTGTTGCATTAGTAAAGTTGGAACGTGCATAGACTGCTGAGTACTGTAGTTTTGAAATAGAAACTGTTTCTTTATGACTTGGCATAAATAAAAAATGAGACCAATGTTTTTGTAACTCATGATGTCATTTTTTAAAAAATAAATGAAGTCTGGACATTAGTACTAAATTTGTGAACTCTTCATTATTTTTGTTTTTGTGTTTAATGGAAAGAAAAATTATTTGAGTTCTGCTGAACAGTTTTGATGCTGCAGCAATTAGCATGTATAGTGTGAATCCATATCGTCCAGAGCTTTCACTTTTTATAAAAAGTGCAGATGGCTGGTGTGTATGAGTGTGTGTTGAACTTGCTGCAATTTGTCACTTGGCTTACTCTTTTATTACTGTACTTGTTTAGTGGTAACGTCACACTAGTAATACAGTCGTGAATAGACTCTGGTGATTATTCTTTTCTAATCTATAATTAAGATGCTATTTTCAGACACTTGCGCGAAGTCTTATCTGCTCCAAGATTTTGTGAACCCAACCAAAGACCAGCTGACAGGTTTCATTTTTCTTTGCCCAAAAAGCTTCTCTTTGTTTTTTTTTGAACATTTTAAAAAACTGACTGCTGAGACTTAAAAAAAAATAATAAAACAACAAAAGTGATGTTACCCAAGCAAGGCCTTCTAATAAAGGAGTGGCCCCCTCACCCATTCCTCCCTACCTGTGCAAGTCCTGCTCACATCAGTTTCCTTCCATCCAATTAGGCGACCTGGGAGACCCAGCCAGCACCATGCAGAGGGACTTCGGAGTGGTGATGGGGTACCCCCAAGAAGCTGGCAGGATGGAACGAGGGAAGGGTCTGGCCACTCCACATCTCTCAAAGTTCCATTGGCTCGATCACTGCAGATAAGTGAAGAACTGCTGAGCAGAAACCAGCATGCTACCGCTGCCAGCCATGGGCCATCTGGGTTGCAGAATCACGGACAGCACATGATACTATCCAGGGAGGCTTCTTGGGCAAAACCACACTACGAATTCAACTTTACCCGAATGAAATTCAGGGGAAATGGTGCACTCCACAACATTAGTGACCTTCCTTTTCTTACAGAAAACTCTGCTTTTCAAAAAATGGCACTTCAAACTAAACAGGATGGGAAAAAGGACATGAGCCATTCAACTCCTGTGGATTTAAAGATACCACAAGTTCGAGGCATGGACCTTTCATGGGAATCCCGTTCTGGTGACCAGTATAGCTATAGCTCTTTGGTGATGGGTTCACAAACGGAGAGCGCGCTTAGTAAAAAGTTAAGGGCTATCCTTCCGAAACAAAATAGGAGGAGCTTGCTGGATCCTGGACCAGATTCCTGGGGCTCAGATGCTGAGCAATCTACCTCTGGACAGCCATATTCCACCTCTGATCAGGAGGGTGATCCTGGCTCTAAGCAACCTCGGAAGAAAAGAGGCAGATACAGACAATACAACAGTGAGATATTGGAGGAAGCGATTTCTGTGGTGATGAATGGGAAAATGAGCGTTTCCAAAGCTCAGAGTATTTATGGGATTCCCCACAGCACCCTGGAGTATAAAGTGAAAGAGAGGCTGGGCACTTTGAAAAACCCTCCAAAGAAAAAAATGAAATTGATGCGTTCGGAGGGACAGGATGTCTCTGTAAAGCTTGAGATAGATCCCCAGGGAGAGGCAGCACACAGTGCAAATGAGTCAAAGGACGATTAGGGATGTTGTAGAGTGCCAATTGCATACTAAACTGGGTGAGCACTATGGCATTGTTCAACTCCAGCCGTGTGTACCTAACTCCTCTTCAGTCACTGGGTGCAGAACCATTGCAATTCAGCAGAGACTTGTGAGGGCACAGGGGAAAAGGGTGCTCTGAATGTTGCATATTTGTAAATTTTCTGGCTCAGTATGGCTTAGAGCCTTTTGTGTTTTGTTTTGTTTTTTGGCCTTTTGCATGTTTCTCTAATATTTTATAGAGAATTGAGTTACCTCACAAAAAATGCAGACATGGAAGTGGACTGCTTGCCTCTTGAGCCTGCATGGACTTTCAGTTATTTTACTGGGTTTGCTTTTTTCATATGGCCTTTTAAATAATAATAATAATAATAATCCCTTTCTTGAGCTCTTAATACCAGACTTCAAAAACAAAACTGGATTACTGGACTATACTTAGATTTTCTCTTTTCGTTCCCTTGGATCCAGTTGGTTGGAAAGAATTTTTTAAAATAATAATTGGTCTTTTGGAATTCAGAGATTTGGAGCTGGTTTGTTATTAGATCTAATAGGAGCCATTTTATTTTAAATTGGGAGGTTTTGTTTTTATTGTTTGCAATTTACTTAGTGCTCACCTGGTGAGGCAGGTGGGGATGGGACAGGGGGATCTTTACATGTGTACACTACCTGCAAAATGCTTTGGTTAATTTCTTTGGAACACTACTTTCATAGTAATTTTGTTCATTCTTTTATAAAGGTGAGGGTTGGACTTGCCTGTTTGAGGATGTAGCCTTATCTCAACAACTCCTTGTATTCTAGGAGAATCAGGGTACACTGAATGATATACTAGGGTATTCCTCATTTTAACAAGAATATGGTTTTTGTGACCAATATGCTTTTCGTAGATTTGATCCTGAGTTCACTAGACTGTGTGTTTCCAACAATTAGTTAAAACATACCTTTCTGGGGGTCAGAAATACAAATAACAGTTTACTGTATTCTTGGGCAAACAAACAAAAACCCTCGTAAATTCACTAATTTCTAAATATTACAACCTCAGTAGTCTGACTAAATAGTTGTATAAATGAAGGATCTATGTTATAACGTTCAGGGAAGAAATTTTTACAAATTTTAATAAAACCTATGATCAGATCATTCTGGTCTGGTTTAGGCTGAGCATCTTATCTAGCTATAACGCTGTCAGGGTTGAACACCCAATGGGTGTTTCCTTTTTAAATACTAAAGTTGCCAGTAACAGGAAATGTTCTTGCATCTCCTGACATTTTGTTTTTGTTTTATCCGCTATTGATTTAATAGTGGAGTAGCACACACATAGGTAGATCATCAGAAGCACTCCTAATCCACTATTCAGCCTTTTTTTAGTTAGCATCTTTTCATTCTTATATTTTAAGCTTTAATTAAAGCTTTCTGGATCTGCAGCTTCACTGAATTAGACTTAACGGTTCTTCAGGTGGAGAGATAATTTGATCATAGCTGTGCAAAAGATTGATAGGACTCCATCCTGCTTTGCACAACCAAAAGAGGCAATGGGATTTGTGTGTAAGATGACATTAAGCACTGTTCATGGTTAGTTTTTGTCCTGATGACTGAAAGTGGATGCTATGATTCATAGGAAGATGGCCTAAAATAACCCCAATGACTGCTGCTTGAATTTGGGGCAATTAGTTGTGGGCCTTCTTGATTTGTTGATTGAATACAGTGGATTGCTGGGAAGCAGAGGTTAGGCACACCATTGCTGTCATGTTAAATATGCACTTCTCATTCTTGAGAGAGATTGGGCTTCTAGCCCATATATGCTTTGTACTACTGTTAATGTACTTTTTTTTTTTAAATTTGCTTAATGTATTTCCATACTCAAAAAGCAGAGTTCCTTAGCTGTCCTAGATGCCATCTCAGTACAGACATCTGTTTAAAGCCCTGTAGTAGTATAGAAACTCTGCAATATAATCCAGCTTCACTGGAGATTGCAATAAAAATGCACTGTTTTAAATTTGTGGTTTCATCTGCTATTGAAAGTGGGGGAGAGGGTTTTGCTGCAAGCGAGAAGTGTAACACTTGCATAGACTTTAGCTGTCTGAGGTTTAACCTTTTGTGACTGTTTTTATTTAAGTGATGTATGAATTGAGTTCCGTAAAATTTATTATTGTATTTGGTGTGCTCATTTTACTTACTTAATATTTTCAATTTGTATCATTAAGTGGATGACAATCGTGCAGCAGAAAAATGGTGTGCCTACCCTTTAATGCTGCAGTTTAGAAGAGAACTAATTGTATGTCATTTCAGACCATAGGTTGAGAACTGTAAATAGATAGTGATAGTTGTGTATTCTTATTGCTTTGGTTAGAAAATGAATTAAACAACCAAACAATTTTCTCAGATTTAAGTCCTGGGACCTGAAGATTGTAAGATTCTTATCTACAAAGCTTTGAAATGTAACACTTATTATCTGTGATCACTTTCTATTCAGGTAAAAAAAAAAAACCCAGAAGCTTTGGAACAACCATATTTCCTCAAAAGGTCTCTGTTTTTAAAAAGAAAAGAAAAAGAAAAGAAAAAAGTAGGTTATTTTTAAAGCACTAATTGCATTACTTTGGTAATTGCAATATAAAATAGCCATTATTGTTTTGTGAAGCATGTTTAAAATTAGTTGTCCCTTTTTAAAATTTCAGAAGCCTCTCAAAAATAAACAAAACGCTGCTGAATATTCAAAAGATATAAATATATCTATATTTTATCTTATTGTAGGTTTTGTAAACTTAGTCGTAATATTCAGGTGCACCTTTTTAATGTTAAACTTTTGTTATAAGATTTCATCTTACTTGTTTTTTCCAAGGTGGTTCATCCTGTGGCTGTATCTTGCTTTAGATCCCTAAGTGGTCCATTAAAGTCAGACTGCTCTAATAGGCGCCTTTGGTGTAGCTTTGAGTAGTATTTGGGAGCATTTCGCCTGTAGAAAAAATGGAATCAGTGTTTACCCATTAGCATGTTCAATTTTCTGCTGAACAGACATTTGCATGACCAAAATCCCAACTGATCATAGTGGGAAAATGTGGTTTGCTACTGTCTTTGTAAGAAAATCTTTGTTTCCTACCATTTCTAATAACTGGACGTTCTTGTAAACTTTTGCAAGAAATGTTTGCCTTGTTTCCCTTGCTGATTTTCACGCAGGTTAAGGAATAGCCAAGTGCAATGCTTCAGAAGTTAAGTCTGTAGGAGGAAAACCGGGGCATTTTTATCATGTATGTTTAACCTACAACCAGAATTTTTGTAGAAATATGGCATATCTGTTGATGGTGTTGTTTGCACCTGCACAACAGAAAGAAACTGTGAACATCATTTATGACAGCCTCTGCTTTTAGAGACAGTGTATAAAGGGTGAGTTCTCCCTTTACTCCCAGCCCAGAAGATTAATGACTGTGTGTGTGTGGATTTGAGAGAGGGAGAGAGAGAGAGAATGTGAGTATGTGAGTGTGTAAAAAAATGTTTAAAATCAAGTTTTCTATTATACTGGAATTTAGATGTTGGTTAGTGACCTTTTGCTGCAGCAGGTTATACAGATGACTTAAGGCTTAGTGTTGTAGGGGTTCAAGTGTGGAGTTAATTATTGTACAGTTCTGTGGAACAAGCCCAGTGTGTAGAAAATGTACCAGTTTTTTACTTGGATCTGTAAAATATAAAATTTCCTGAAAAATCTGGAGATCTGATGAACAATTACTTCACTATCAGCTATTTTAGGACCTCGCTTCCAGTGCCCCAGGCCTCTTCACCATAATTATCAAGAATTCAAGTTATAGGATTCAGGCTGTGGTCTTACGTTTAATTATCCAAGTGAAATAATCCCCAAATTGATTAATTAGGAGCATTTAAAGATCCTACACTTGCATCCCTCCAAATGCACCAAGAATAAATCAATATTTCTTGAGAATTCAAAGGCTGCTCTCAACTGCCTAACGAAAAGCCTAGATTGTATGTATTTTTAAATATGGTTTGAAACAAATTTAAATAACTTCTAATATTGTTATAAAAATACAATGTGTCTTTTAAAGAAGAGAGCAGTATGGGACTGTTTTCTTTATCATAGTTGATCTTGAATATTCTCAAGTATAAGCAGTTGAAGGAACTTGATTTTAAGTAGATACAATATTTAGTCAAAACTTCTAATCCAGTACATTTTGGATTACATGTTTATAAATATTGTGAGTTTTTTTAGAGGTGAAAAGAGTTATGGCACATAGGCAGATGGGGAAGCACATTTATCATTCTCTTCTCCTATTTAGAAGCACCTTGCTAGAGCTCTAGAAATTTAAGTCATCTTCTTCAGTCCAAAGGTGGAAAGATTAATGTGCTAGATTGCCTGAAAGATTTAGGCAGCCTTCAGAAGAACAGTTTGTAATGTAAACAATTGAGATAAGACTTCATTTGCTTTCTTCTTTGTAGTTTCGAAAGATTTCTACTCTCTCTCTCTCCCTCTCCGTCCCTCCCTCCCTTCCATCCCTCCCTCTCTCCTTCCTCGTTCCCCTTTTGATAACTTGAATTTGCTGACTGCATATTTTGATACTTGCATTTGGTGTTTTTAATCATTTGTTATCTGCTTATTGTCAGACTTTGTTTAGAAACTCTACCACGCTTCTTCATATTTTACATTAGTAGAGATAGTCATATATTTTTGATCCACACTTACTATTTTACTTCTCATTAAATAAACAACAGGTTAATAATTTACATGCATTTTAACAGTAGAGGATCTCTTTACAGAGATATTTGTTTAACAGGACAAAATTGCTGAGTAATATGATAGGCGAATAATTGGTAAATTATTTTGTCAGTGGTTCCCAAATTAACTTGTGAAACTCAGATAGTTCCTAAGCAGTTTCAGAAATGAAAAGAAATGGGTTCAGTAGCGGAGGTTCTGGTTCACCTGAGACATGATAATTATTTTTTATCATTCACCTTAGCAACAAGTTCTAGCTTCTTTCTACTACAA